AACGTGCTTTAATGAGAGAAAACCTGGCTCAGAAAGAAAAAGAAGAAAAAGAAAGGCGCTTGCGTATGTTAGCACAAAAAGCCAGAGAAGAGAGGTAATTATTTTGTTCATGTAATCAAATATAAATTTTATAAATATGATACTAATTATAACTTGTCACAACTTCAGAGCTGGCATTTCCTCAACGACATTGAATACAGCTGAATCTGAATCAGATTCAGAATCTGAAGATGAAAAGATTCGTGAGAGAGAAGATATAAGACAAGAAAGACGAAAGGAAAGAGAAAGAGAATATAGATTATCGAGAATGGGTGCGGAACAAAGAGCAAAATATCTCGCACGGTTGGTTCATTTTTATTCAGTATTAATATCATATATTCTATAAACTATTTAGAGCTAACGTTTTATTTAAAATTTCCAGTGAGCAAAACAGAGATATTTCCGAAAAGATCGCTTTAGGTCTTGCGAAACCCACACTTAGTAAAGATAGTCTTTATGATTCTCGATTATTTAATCAATCAGAAGGTCTTTCGTCAGGATTTAAAGATGATGAAGGTAAATGTAGCTTATTTTTAAACGATATTTCACATAAATCAGGCAGTCGGAGCTAATATTTTATATATCTCTTTCTATTTTTAGTTTATGACTTGTATGATAAACCTCTTTTTGCTAGCTCAAGTTCTACAAGTATATATAACCCTAAAAAGAATTTTGATCCTGATCAATATGGTGGTGGAGACGAAGAGAGCATTAACAGAATGCTAAGTGTGGATAGATTTGGAATTGCTTCAAAAGGTTTCCAAGGAGCTGATAAAAGCCAGGTTCGTAATATTTGTTTTCATTTTATCATGTTGTATTGTCATTCAAATTTTAATGTGTTTTTTTTTTTTTTTTTACTCATTATCAGCCAAGAGATGGACCTGTGGAGTTTGAAAAAGAAGAAGCAGATCCATTTGGATTTAATCAGTTCTTGGATGATGCTAAAAAAGGAAGCAAGCGCGGGTTGGAAACGGATAACAATAGTCAGAACGAAAAACGAGACAGTAAACGTATAAGATGACGGCATGAGTAGGGTTGCGACCACTTTTTTTTTTTTTTTTTTTTTTTTGAATTACGACGTTACCACGTAATTTGGGTTTAGGATCGGGATTCTACTTTATTTTGGACAATAACCAAATCATTCACATTTTCAGTTAAATAGTGTCAAACTCAAAAATAAATCAATGCTATAAATTATTACAACTAAAAACTTCAGAGCTAAACAGGGTATGTTGAATAAAGAGACTTGTTAGGTCTGGTACTCTAGTATATCGAATATGTGCTTAATAAGTAATAGTTAATTCCACGTTTTATTTATCATGCATAATATCTCCGACTGCCCATGATGTTTTATGATGTCGACGACAAATACGTAAGGATGAGACTTTTTTGAGTCGACTTTAGACCCGAGTGACTCTAAAGAACCAAGTCCCAGTAGTCACATGTATGATTGGATGTTGAGATAACGATAACTTTATATAAAGATATAAAGAAAATTATATAAATTTTTTTAATTGCTAATATATTTTTTTTTGTTATATCAATTTATAAAAATTTTATTTTGTTTTGATCAACCGCTTGAGATAATAATTGAAATTGAAAATATCAAAAAAGATGAGTTTATAAGAAATAGTCACTTGTAAAAAAAAAGAAATCTGCTACTATAGTTGAAAAGTAGTAGAAATTAATTTTTTACTATAGAAGTAAATTGGTATTTAGCTTAAAGAGCAATAAGAAGTAAAGTTTTAATTTATTTAGTTTTTTTTTTTTTTTTTTTTTTTCTTTTTTTTTTACTTTATACAACATGCTATTAGTAAGATTTTTTTTTTTTTTTTGTTGTTAAGGTGGTTTATATTGCTAAAGAAATTTTATTAGTGTTGTAAACAGAATTATATATTGATAATCTTTACTATTTGTAATTATATGAAGAGTATATAACAAGTTATATATACAACTTTAGTTATTGTCTATTTTAAGTAATTCATTGCACAGATATTAGGCCACCTGATTGGTTCTATACTATATTGCAATACTTGTAACCTGCTTATGAGTTATCTATTTAAACATGTTGTTTATTAACTCATATAGATCCAATCTAATATTATCACAATACTTAACTTTTTAAGTCAGCTAGCTTGTTATGAATTTATTTATTTAGAATAGCTTAGATCCTTTTAGAATATATTAAACTAGACATATTACTAATATTACAAAGCCAGTTAACCTTAAAGCAAACTTACTAGAGTAGTTTGTATCTATTTTATGAATTTATCTAGTTTAATTCTTGTAGATATTTATACAATTTTAGGTTCTATTATGGTTTTTTACTAGTTAGTTGACTTAGTTCTTTTTTAATATTTAGCTAGTTTTAGTAACTCTTTGCTTGGAGACTTTGAAACCTTTTACCTTTATTAGACTGAGTTTTTTTCTTAGATCAGATTTTAGCTGATATAGTCTTTTTGAAGATTATACTATTTTACTGACTCAGAATTTCTACTATGCAGATCTCCTGCTTATATATTTTATCAAGATTTATTTGTATAATATTATGCTATACTTTCAAGTTCTGATCAATTTAGTACAACTCAATTTACAAGAATACATCTCTAGAAACAAATAGAGTTTATTATAATATATCACAAGGTCTAAGAAATTATTCAAATTTATCAACAGTATAATTTGAATTCCAAACCTATTGCATAGTGATTTGACAATCTAACTACTATATTAGATCACTGGATATTAGTGAGATTTTTTATTAGTATAGATAATGAGAAATGATTATTTTTTTTTTTTTGTTATTAAAGTGGCTTATATTGCTAAGCAAATTTTATTAGTTTGATATACGAGATCTCACATCGGGTTCTCTTACAGTTTATAATTATATAAAGAGTGTATAACAAGTCATATATATAACTTTAGTTATTATCTAATTTAAGTAGTTTGCTATGCAAGTGTTAGACTACCTGTTAGTACTACACTATACTGCTATACCTGTAACCTGTCTGTGAATTACCTATTTAAATACTCTGTTTAACTAACTTATACCATTATAAACTAATATCACTATAACATCTAACTACTTACGCTAACTAGTTTATTACAAATCTATTTATCGACTTCAGCTTAGATTCTTTCGAATTACATTATACTTAACATATTATGAATATCTGCAGAGCTAGTTAATCTCGAAGCATACCTCCTAAAGCAGTCTATGCTCATTTCATGAACTCATATAGCTTAAACCTTTGTAGATATTTGTACAACCCTAGTTCTTACTATAGCTCTCCATCAGTATCATTTTGAAGTCTCACTAAGGCCTATCATGAGTTAGATCCTCCTAATCTAGTTAGCTAACAAGCCAAATTAGTATTACTGTAACATATAGCAATCCCTACTATGATACAGACTTATGTATATCTAACCTGATCAAAATCTTTGAGCATACTATCTTTCTAAATTAAGCATTAGCTGATATAACTATCGAAAGCTGTACTACTTCACTAACTCAGGATTTTTACTATACAGGTCTTCTGCTCATAGATCTTATTAAGATTTATTCGTATAATATTATATCTCTCCAAATATCTTATTATATTTCCAATATCTGAATGATATTGTTGCAATGTAATTTACAAGGTTACAACTCCAGAAACAAACAGAGTTTACTGTAAGTTGGGTATAAAGGTCTAAGTAATTATTCAAATTCGTCAATAGTGGAATTTGAACTTCAAACCTCTTGTATAGTAGTCTAGCAATCTAACTACTACACTAAGATCATTAGATCTATAAGAAATGATTATATATGTGAAAGTATAACTAATCACATATACAACTTTAGATTGTCTAATTTAAGTAATCCACCTAAAGATTCTATATTAGCTATTACATCTGAAATTTATTTAAAAATTTTCTATTTAAACTCTCTGACTATATGCTATTCTAGTTTTGCTATTTTTTATTACTTAATTTATTTAACCCTATACTACTTCTCTTTTCAAAAGATATCAACAGAGCTTATATATATCTACAAATTTTATGATTTAAAACTTAGACTATCTCAGATACTTTTCACTAACTTCCTAATTGATAGATACTGTAATACTCAACTAAACTTAATTGATAAGTACTATAGTACTCAACTAAACTATACTATATTCTAATTTAGCTTGTATATACTTTTATTCGATATTTATACAAGCCTAATTTCTACTGTAGCTTTCTACTAGGTTAGTTATTAGTACCTCCAGATATTATATGAGATAGACTCTTCCAAATTTAGTTAACTAAGTTGGTATTACTAAAAATTATCTATGTCTCTAGATATCATATGAAACAAATCCTTTCAAATTTAATTAGCTGCTAAGTCAAGTTGGTGTTACTATATGATTTTATATAACAGATTTATACATAACTATTTTGCTAGTCTTTTTATATGCAGATTTTTTAATAGACTTATATGCATCCTATTCACTAATCTTTTCATGTATTGATTTCCTTTCTCAGATTAAATGTTAACTGATATGATTATCAAAATTTGTACTACTTTACTTAACTCAAAATTTCTATTATGCAGATTCTCTGTTTATAGATTCTATTAAAATTTATTCATGTAATATTATATTTTTTCAAATACTCTGTTATACTTTTAATGTCTGAATAATATTAGTATAATGTAATTTATAGTATTTACTATAAATTGAATACAAAAGGTTTAGATAATTATTCAATTCTGTTGATAGTGAAATTTGAACCCCAGACCTCTTGTATAGTAGTCTAGCAATCTAACCACTACACTAAGATTGCTATACTAGTTCTTTTTTATTTTTATTTACTTGTTTAATTATTTTTCTATTTTAATAAATTTATTTAAAAATAGTTTTTATATTATTTATTTTATATTGTATAAAACATTTTTTTGATTAAATTAATGAACTTTTCCTATTAATCACTTGTATCAAAATTTATAAGAAAACAAATGTAATATTTTATATAAAAATTTTTTTATTTAAGTAAGTTTTTCTACAAAAGATACTATCAATGAAATAAGAAGTTTAGCTAAGAAAATAGTACAAATAAAAAACTTTGGTCTTCTACAGTTTTAATAGATGTCAAATTTTTTTCTAGTAGACTCATCTATATTATTTAGTATTTAAGCTAGAAAGAAAGATATTTTTAGTAATATAACCTTTTAGTAAAGAAGACTTATTTAAAAAAGTTTAAATATAAAATTTGCAACATATTCTCTAAATATGAAGTTAAAATACTTGTACTCTTATCCTTTTTTTTTGGCTTTTTTTTTCAAAAAGTAAAGAATTTGGCTTATTCTTCTAAAAGATCTAAATAATATAACTATTTTCTTTTTTGGTTTTATTATTATATAACTTCATATAAAAATAACAAATACATAAAGTAGCTTATCTTTGTGATATAAATAAAACTAGATTTAATATGTGAAGAGAATATATAGAAATATGCATTTTTATTTGTCATATAGTATAATATTTTTTAATTTTTTACATCTTCAAAGAGTATTTTTTTTTTGTTTTTTTAGTATATAAATGAGTTTTTTAACTTGTTAACAAGTTTTTCCTCATATATATTATATTTATATAATATGTAGTATATTTTTTTCATTATATGTAACAATTTTTAAACTTTTTTATATCATGAGACTAGGTATTAACTACTTATAGCTTAGTGCAAATTAGGTTAAAAAGAATCTAGAATTATAATATTAGGCTAAAAGTTGTTATCATTAATCAAATTTTAAGAAATCTGTCTATACAGATCAAGGTTTTTATAAGAAAATAAGCTTCTGTAGTAGATTAAACTTGAGTACTTTTAAGACAGCTGAGTTAGTTTAAAACAGTTCTAGAAGGATTTATTTTGTATATATATATATTAGAATAGTTTTATACTTATATTTAAGTTTTCTTTAATAAAGTAATAGGCAAGATCACTCAAGTTATAAAAAAAAAAAAAAAAAACAGATTTTTGATTTGTCAATAGATAATTTGTAGTAAGCAACTCTTTTTGTTAATTTTTTAACTACAGTTTTTATAAAAACCTGATTTGAGAAAACTTTTTTCTGTTTATCTCTGATTAGAAAAGCAAAAAAAGAAAATAAATATAAATACATTAAAAAGAAACTAAAATTTAACTAATAAGTTACTATGAAAGGCTATAGCTTTTATACCAAAGAAAAAAAAGTTTCTCTTACTAGTAGAACTCTTATTAATAAAAAATATCTTTAAAATACTAAAACTTGATAATGTAAAAGAAAAAAAATAAATAGTTTATTAAAAAGAAAGATAAAACAAGTCTTAACAAAAAAGAACTAGAACAAGCAAAAAAAAAAACAACAGATAAGCAACTAGTTCTAGTAATAGTAATTCAAAATAATAAGAACTAGTCAGAAGATATTTCTTAAAGTAAAAGTAGCAACCAAGTGTTAAAAGAAAACATGTTTAAAAAAACAAAGTAAATAATAAAAATAAAAATAATACTAAAAATAGTCACATAATTAATACAGAAATTGAAATCAGTAATAATACAGAAAAATAAGCTGATCCTAAGGTTATATTTAGTTATACCTCAGTTGCCAAATAAGATACTAACTTGTCTGCTAAATTAAAAAAGAGAAAATTAACCTTTGTAGCTTTTTCTCCTAAAAATTAAATTAAATCTAAGAATAATAATACTTTAATCATTAAAATTCCAAATTTGTATAATTTTCTCAATAAATTTATAGCTTCTCTATATGAAAATATAAGAAGTAATATTATTGCTACTAAATAATACTTCAAAAAAGATTTTAGGTCTCATCTAGAAATTATCTTCTCTAATTAAGAACAATTAGAACACTATACTACTAGTAGAATTAAGATTTTTAATAAGATCTACTATAGATATATTCTAACAGATGTGAGAAAATCTTTCTTTCTAGTAAAAGTTAGAAATATCATGCTAAACACTAAAGAATATATCTCAAATCTGATTAAAGAAGTATTTAAAGATTTTAGAAAAATCTTTTTATCAAACTATTACTGATTGAAAGCACTTCATATATAACAAACTAATAGATAATTATCAATAACAACACAGATAATCCAGAGTTAAAAACAAGAATTCCTTGCTTTATATTTATTGAGAATAACAAAATAATTACTGAATAGAAAGAAGCTCTAAAAGTTTGTTTTTTCTGTGATCAAACAGGATATATTAAAAGAATTGCAAGCAATTTCAAGAAGTTAAAAATTTAAAACATCATTTCTAGGAGTTTAAAAACAAGAATAAACAAAAAGAAGTAATAACTAAGACTTCAAATGAAAGCTCAACTAATCCTAAACAAGAAAATTCTATTTCTCAGACTTCTACTCAAAATACAAGTATAGAAACAGAACTTACTCAAGAACAAGAAACAAACACAGAAAAAAATTCTGATAAAAACAAAATAGATACTAGTATTAAATCTCTAAACTCAGAAGATAAATCAACAAATATATCTGTTTCAAGTTTAACTTCAGAAGAGGCTAACTATAATTTGAAAAATAGCTAAAAAAATACATAAGAAAATATAGAAGATGCAACTTTTACTATAGTTATATATAAAAAAAGAAAACATATAGAATCAAAGTCTTATAAATCAATAAACAAAGAAAACTAACATATTAAATCAGAACAAAGAATACAGAACAATTCTAAAAACTAATAATCTATTTATCATAAACAACTCTATAATTAAAATTGCTACTTTAAATATCAAAGACTTAAATAATTTGAACAAATAGCTTAAAACATTAATATTACTGAAATCTTATAGATTAGATATTATTCTTTTATAAGAAACAAATATTTTTGCTATAGTCACTTAATCAATTTTTAAAGAATCAATAGTCTTTTGATTCTATATGAACAGATAGAACTGCAATTCTAGTAGAAAACAAAGAAATAAAATTTCAAAACATTAAAAAATTATAAGAAGATAGAATAATCTCAATATAGTTCACTTTTAAGAAATTTTCCTTCTATATTATCAATATCTATGCTTTACCAAATATATTAAATAGAATAGTTTTTTTTAATAGTTAGACTATTGAAAGAAAAAAAAATATAATTAATATTATAGCTAGAGATTTAAATACAAATTTAAATTCAAATATTAACAGAATAAGTTAAACAAATATTCAAAATAACTCTTTAAAGATCTGATGATCTAGTGTAGTAGATAGGTTGTTAGATTGCTATACAAGAGGTCTAGGGTTCAAATCTTACTGTTAACAAAATTGAATCATTACCTAGACATCTGTATTCAACTTACAGTAAACTCTGTTCATTTCTGTAGTTGTAACCCTGTAAATCATGTTGCACTAATATTGTTCAGATATTGGAAGTATGACAGAATATTGGAGTTATATTACATGAATAAATCAAGATAGGATCTATGAGCAGAGAATCTGCATAGTAGAAATCTCGAGTTAGATTAAGTAGTACAGATTTAGATAGTCATACCAGTTAATGCTTGATCCAGCAAGAATTTCTGAGTACAAATCGAATAGATACAAATAAGTTCGCAGTGTAATACAGCCTGGTGTCTTGCATTTAGTAGCAATACCAACTTGGCTTAGTAGCTAACTAGATTGGAAGGATCTACTCATGAAACATTCAAAAGTCTAAACTAGTAAAGGGCCATAGCTAGAACCAGGTTTGTACGAACATCGAATAAAGGTATATACAAGCTAGATTGGGATATACAGTAGCATAGTATAGTTGGGTATTATG